TCATTAGTAGTTATAATTTTACAGAGGATTTTTATTGGTTCATTAAATACAAAAAAATTGATGTATGATTGCATAATAAAGTTTTTCTAATTCTAAGAGAAAAAAGGACACTGCAAGAAAAGAAAGCTACAGGCCTATATCTCTGATGAATATAGATGCAAAAATTCTCAACAAAATAGTAGCAAACAATACAGCAGCACTTTAAAAGAATCACACACTGTGATCAAGTGGGATTTATCCTTGGGATGAAAGGATGGTTCAACGTACACAAATCAATAAATGTGATACACCACATTAATGGAATGAAGAGTGAAAATTATATAATCCTCTCAATAGATGAAGAAAAAACGTTTGACAAAATTCATCACATTTTTCTTGATAAAAATTCTAAACATGTTCAATGTAGAGGGAACATACTTCAACATATCCAGAGCAATTAGGCAAGAAAATGAAACAAAAGGCATCCAAATCAGAAAAGAAGTAAAATTATTACTGTTTGAAGGTAACATGATCTTATTTAGAGAAAATTGTAAAGACTCCACCAAAAAACTGTTAGAAGGGGCTTCCCTGGTGGCGCAGTAGTTGAGAGTCCGCCTGCCGATGCATGGGACATGGGTTCATGCCCCGGTCCGGGAGGATCCCACATACCGCGGAGTGGCTAGGCCCGTGAGCCATGGCCGCTGAGCCTGCGCATCCGGAGCCTGTGCTCCACAATGGGAGAGCCACAGCAGTGAGAGGCCCGCGTACTGCAAAAAAAAAAAAAACAAAAAAACAACTGTTAGAACGAGTAAATCCAGTAAAGTTGCAGGATACAAAATCAACATGCAAAAATCAGTTGCATTTCTATACAGTAACAATGAACCACCTGAAAATGAAATTCTGAAAACAATCCCATTTTACAGTAGCATCAAAAAGAATAACATTCTTACTAATAAATTTAGTGAATAGGTAAGAGATCGGTACACTGAGAACTATAAAACATTGATGAAAGAAATTGAAGAAGACATAAGACATAAATGGAAAGATAGCCTGTGTTCATTGATTGAAAGAATTAATATTGTTAAAATATCTGTACTACTCAAAACCATCTATAGATTCAGTGCAATCCCTATCAAAACTCCAATGGTATTTTTCACAGAAATAGATAAAAGAATCCTAAAATTTGTATGGGACTACAGAAGACCCCAAATAGGCAAAACAATCTTGAGAAAGAGGAGCAAAGCCAGAAGCAACACACTTCCTGATTTCCAACTATACTACAAGGCTATAATAATCAGAACAGTAACAAATGGGACTACATCAAACTAAAAAGCTTCTGTACAGCACAAGAAGAGGCATTTTCCCAAATAAGACGCAGATGGCCAATAGGTGCATACAAAGGTGCTCAATAAAAACCACAGTGAAGGGCTTCCCTGGCAGCACAGTGAGTGGTTGAGAGTCCGCCTGCTGATGCAGGGGACACAGGTTCGTGCCCCAGTCCGGGAAGATCCCACATGCCGCAGAGCGGCTGGGCCCATGAGCCATGGCTGCTGAGCCTGCACGTCCGGAGCCTGTGCTCTGCAACGGGAGAGGCCACAACAGTGAGAGGCCCACGTACCAAAAAAAAAAAAAAAACCACAGTGAAGTATCACCACACACCTGTTAGAATGGCTGTTATTTTAAAAATGAGATAACATGCTGTTAAGGATGTGGAGAAAAGGGAATTGTTGTGCACTCATGGTAAGTATGTGAATTGGGATAGCTGTTATGGAAAACAGTATGGAGGTTCCTCAAAAGAATTTAAATGGAATTACTGTATTGTCCAGAAATTCCACTTCTGGGTGTAAATCCAGAGAAAATGAAATCATTATCTCAAAGAGGTATCTGCACCCCAATGTTCATTGCAGCATTATTTATGATAGCCAAGACATGGAAACAACCTAAGTGTCCATTGATGGATGAGTGAATAAAGAAAATGTAGTGGTGGTGGTGTGTGTATGTATAAACTGTGTGTGTGTACATATTATATAATATATAGTATACACAGCGGAATATTTTTCAGCCATAAAAAAGGAAATCCTGCCATTTGCAACAATATGCATGACTTTGATGGTGTTATGCCAAGTGAAATAAAGTGAAAGGCATATTGAATGATCCCATTTATATATGGAATCTGAAAAAAGCTGAAGTCATAGAAACAGAGAATAGAATTGTGGTTGACGGGTGGGGGAAATGAGATGTTGGTCAAAGGAACAAACTTCAGGCTATAATATAAATACTAAAGTTGTACAGCTTGGTGATTATAATTAATAACACTATTACATACTTGAAGGTTGTTAAGAGAGTAGATCTGAAGTGTTCTCTCTATAAAGAAAAGTAGTTATTTGAGGTGATAGATGCGTTAACTGACCTTATTGTGGTAATCATTTCACAATACATACATATATCAAATGACCATGTTGTACACCTTAAACATGGTCGTTTGATATATGTATATATTGTGAAATGGTTACCACAATAATTACACAATGTTATATGTCAATTATGCCTCAGTAAAGCTGAGGGGAAAAGTACAGCATCAAAGTCAAGAGAGGCTGTTATTTATTCTGTCCTGTTAGGACCCCATGCTGCATAGTTTTCATGTTATTTTTGTTATTACTTTTTAAGAGTGATAAACTGGGATATACCTAAAAGAAAATGATTAGCATAGTAGACATTGTGGAAACCATATTATTTGAAGGAATAGTTTAAAGAGCTAGGATTAGCATAGAGAAAAGAAGATTTGAGGGAAATATGACTTGTTTGAGTGAATTAGGCCAAGATGTTTTTCAAGATATCCCACCTTCTGGATATATCTGATTCACCTGAGGTACCATTTAGTTTATTGCTTTATCCCTTGTATTTCCTCTAAACTGGAAGTTATATCTAATGGAATCAAGTTTGGCTAAAATATTTCATAGGTGATGTTGTATTGTGTACTTAATATTGTCTCATATTAGAAGATACATGAAACCTGATTGACCTGTTAGTGGACCATTATTAAGAGGCTCTCCAGATTAGAGTGATGACGGTTTGATCCTTCCATTTGTACAGTTATATTTTATCCTTTGTGGCTGAAAGGTAATCAATAAGATGGTGTTTAGGCTCTATGAGTATCTAGTCCCTCATTGTACATTCACATAATGGTTTTAGCAACAATTTATAGTCCTAAATTATAGTTTGGGTGGAAATAAAATTCTACGTTAGAAATTATTTTCCAGATTTTTGAAGGCATTGCTCCATTTCATTATTGCTCTTGAAAAAATCTCATATTATTATTCCTGATTCTTCATATGTTACTGGTTTCTTTTCTGGAAACTTTATGATCTCATCTTTATTTCTGATGTTTTTTTAATTGAAATTTAAGTGATTTAAGTAATTTAAGTGATGTGGCTTGGTCTGGTTTGGTTATTCCATGGGCTCTTTGAGTCTAGAAACTCATATCTTTCCATTATGGGAAATTTCTTGTTTTATTTTTTTAATAATTTCCTTCCCTCTGTATTCTCTGTTCTGTCTTTGAAGAAACTTTATTGGATGCTCTACCTCCCATTTCATCCTCCGAGTTTTATATCTGTTACCTCTTATTTTCTATCTGTTTATTTTCTGGAAGATTTCCTCAACTTTAGCTTTAACCCATCTGTTGAACTTTTTATTTCTGCTGTCATATTTTTCACTTGGCTCTAACAATTAGATAAGTGCTTTTTCCTCTTCTCTGAATATTCTGTTTTTCATAACATTCTGGTTATGTTTCAGACATACTAATGTCTCTTCTCACCTCTCTGAGAGTATTAATTATAGTGTTGGGAGTTTTTTGGCTTGTTTTCTAAGTTTCCTTCCCTAAATTGCGTATTTTTTTGCTAGCATTTGTGCCCCCCCCCCCCCCCCACCCCGTTTCTGAGAGGCTTTCCTCGCTTCCTGGTGATCCTCGAGTGTTAGCATGTTCAAGAGAGGAATTGAGAAGGTGCTGGGAAGCTTTGTGCGCATGCAGATGATGTTTCACCGGGAGAACATCCCTCATCCCTCAGTTATCAGAACCTGTAGGTCCTTTGGTTTGAGCCTCTTAGTCTCCTGGAAGGGAATCTTCCAGGGGTAGAATCATGGATGTCTGTTTTGGAAGCCAGTTAGGAGCAGAGATCTAGAGCCATTACTGTTGAGTATAACAGTTTAATCAAATCCCCTCTTTTCAGCTGTGCCTGGGGTTCTTAGAGTCCAGAAGCTCTAGTGCAGCATCTCCCAAGAATAAACCTTCCTGTTGCTGTGGTGGTAAAGGAATCATTGCCTTGCTGTGCTGGCTGGGAGAGGGGTTGTTGCAGATTTGAATGTTTTTATGCAAACTTTTAACTCAGCCTCCTCTTTTTAGTCCCACTTCACATCATAGCCTTCAGAAGTTCTTAGGACCTCCAATTTCTGAGCCTTTTTAGTGTTCTGTAGTAATAACAACAATAATAGCTAATGCATGAATGCACTTTGCATATATTAACTCGTTTAATCCTGTGAAGTAAGTACTACTAGTATCCCCCTTATATAGGAAATTGAGGCATGGAGAGGCCAAGCGCTTGTCCAAAGGGTCACAGCAGGAACATGGTGGATTCAGGATTTAAATCAAAGCAGTCTGTCTTCAATCCAACACTGCCTTTCAGAACAGACCAGCTTGCTTCATGTTGGTCACCCCATTTCTGCAAGCAGTTATGTTTCTCTGCTTTGCTAAATCAGTTGCTTCTAGTCCACTGACTTTATTCCTTCCAAAATTTTAATGATGCTCTTCTGCTTCATGTTCTCTCCCATCCTCTTTGTCTCTCTTTTTATACCTGTTGTATTGCTTTTTTGGGATCAGAGACAAATGTTTGTATTCAATCCATATTTTTAACTGGAATTTCTCAAAGTTCGTAATACTTTCTCTGTTTCATGCATTGTTCTGTTAGTTTGCTGGGTTTTTTTTTTCCTAACAGCTCCATGACTTATATATTCTCCCTTGTTCCCAGGTTGCCGGACAGGTGAAGCAAAATTGACAAAAGGATTTAATCTAGCTGCCCGGTTCATCATTCACACAGTGGGACCTAAGTACAAGAGCCGCTATCGCACAGCCGCTGAGAGTTCCCTATACAGCTGCTACAGAAACGTACTTCAGCTGGCAAAGTATGGCTAGCTCAGTTCCTAGACATAGCATGCCATACATTGGTAAAGGCCCTGGTTTTAAAATGAAACCTAGCTATGAAAGTCAAATTTTGAGGGACTTAAATAATTTAGGAGGAACCTGAAGATAGAATTAATCATCTTCTCAAACGTGGCAGAGTAAGAGGAATACATTTGGGTGACTTGAGAATTTAACCAATTCCCATTTTACTTAGTTCCCATTTTACTCGGAATATATTTCCCCCAAATGGTGCAGTTAAATTATATATTAATATAACTTTTACATAGTGCAGTTGGGTTAAATATTACAGTAGATTCATTGAAGGGACAGGGAAGGAGAAGTTAAGCTGCATTTTTTATTATTTATTATGAATGCTTAGAGTATAGTTTTTGTGTTTTCTGTTTGATTGCAGAGAGCAGTCCATGTCTTCTGTTGGATTCTGTGTCATCAATTCTGCAAAACGAGGTTACCCTTTAGAGGATGCAACACACATAGCACTTCGTAAGTAAGGTTGGGGGTACTGTACATAAATTAAATTTAAAAAAAGTTTTTTATCACTAGTTAAATAGTTGCAGCCAAAGAAGATTTGTTGATTAACTGATTGTGGCACTCTGGCGGGAAGTTTGTGTTGACAAGTTGCAGAGCTCTCAGTTTACTTTCTAGGTTTGACATTTTTATCCATTTGAATAAAGGCTTAGAAAATTTGCCTGTTAAGTTTGAAAATTATACCGCTGAGAAGTATGGCCAATGCATTGGGTATTTGAATCATAATTCAGAATAATCTTAGCAGGCAGCAACAATGAAGTCAAAACAGATTTTGTAATATCAGATTGATACAGCACTATCAGTTTAAGCGGTAGCTTTCACGTGTGCTATTTGAATATAAAACCCTGCATTTAGAGTTTAAAAAGACTGGGCTCAATCATTATGAGCCAGAATGTTGTATATGTAAGATAAAAATATGACGCTTAGCTCGAGGGAGTCCCTGATCTCACTGTATTGTATACAGCTTCAGACCACGCCTAGAATTTTGCATCTAGTTCTGGCTGTCATATCTCATGAGACTGACAAACTGCAGGGCAAACAGTTTGAAACATTAGTGGTGTTTCCCCTAAAGAAGAACACACTTTTAGCATATATGGTGCCCAAATATATGGAGTCGTCTCATGTGGACTTATTCCATACTGTATTTTTAGAGCAATAGTTCTTAACTATTATGACTTCTTTGGAATTCATCATAAACTACACTGAGCATCTGAGGAAACAAAGCTGTGGACCCTTTTCCCGGAGGAATGCACTTATAGATGGAATTTACATGCTATTTCAGGAAGTTCACAGATCCTTGTAAAGATTGTAAATAAGATCTCCAACTGTAGAAGAGAGGTCTAAGACAAGTGACAAGGAAGAAGATTTGTTCCCCTTTGAGATAGGACTATCTGAAATAGAAAGGTTTTTTTTTAAAATTTATTTATTTTATTATTTATTTTTGGCTGCATTGGGTCTTCGTTGCTGCGCACAAACTTTCTGTAGTTGTGGCAAGCAAGGGCCACTCCTCGTTGTGGTGCATGGGCTTCTCATTGTGGTGGCTTCTCTTGCTGCGGAGCATGGGTTTCAGGTGCGCGGGCTTCAGTAGTTGTGGCACGCAGGCTCAGTAGTTGTGACTCACAGGCTCTAGAGCGCAGGCTCAGCAGTTGTGGCACATGGGCTTAGTTGCTCCGCGGCATGTGGGATCTTCCTGGACCAGGGCTCGAACCCGTGTCCCCTGCATTGACAGGTGGATTCTTAACCACTGCGCCACCAGGGATGTCCTAGAGATGTTTTCATCTCTGTATTTCTAATGCTTTCTTATGTCAGGAATGCTTTACATATGGTCCTTGCTGAAGAAATAAGTATTTTAAAAAGGGATAAAAGAAATTCCATTTCACTTCTTCAACAACCTTGTGTTTTAGGTAGTGTAGTGTTTTAGGTATTTGTTTTACAAATAAAGAGGCTCAGAAATTTATCATTTTCTTAGGGTTATGCAGACTTGGAACATATATCCAGGCCTTCTGACTCCCAAGTCTAGTAACCTATGTGTTGTACTAGATAATTCATTATGCTTGAGTTAGGACTGCTTTGGTGGGAAACTACTGTTACAGCTAGCCTGCATGTATTCTGAATGTTGCCTTACCAAAGCAAAGTTCCTACCTTTATATAATTCTCCTTGGCAAGGCTTTTGGCAGGTCTTAACTTTCTCTGGTTTCGTTTAGCCTGTGTCCCATATTCCTATCTCATAGCTTGAGATAGGCCTTTTATGTCTCCATTTTTTATTAAAGTAATTATATGGATTAGAATTTAAAGAGACACCATCATTTTGTAGCAAAGGCTCTGAAAAGGTAGTCAAGAAGACTGGTTTTTGGTCCCAGTTCTACCAGTCTAACTCTGGCTCTGTGGCCCTCAGATAAGTCACTTGATACAGTACCACAGAGGAGTCAGCTTTGAGCAGTAATTGTAGTAACAGCAGATAAAGATCAAAAGTAGGTATAAGGCCATAGTTCCTATGAGTCAGGAGTCTGGCTTGGCTGACTCTTCTGCTCGGGGCCTCCCATGGCAACAACTTAGGTGTGGGCCAGACAGTTCATCTCTGGAGCTTGGCGGGTACTTCTGAGTTCATGTGGTTATTGGCAGAATTCAGTTTCTTGCAGTTGTGGGACTGGAGGTCCCTGCTTTCTTGCTGCCTGTCAGCCGAGGGCCACTCGCAGCGCTTAGAGGCCACCTGAACTTCCCTGCTACGTGACCCTTTCCCAACAGGGCAGCCCACTTCCTCCAGGCCAGCAGGAGAACCTCTTCTTCCATCAGCCAGCCAGTGCCTCACACCATGTAACTCAACCATAGGAGTGACATTCTTCACTTCTGCTGGGTCCTTCCACATTCAAGGGCAGGAGATTCAACCAGGTTGTGACTCTTTGGATGTCATCTTAGAATTCTGCCTGTCACAGGGTAGAAAGCTAGCCCACTCTTCCTACCTTGAAATTGTCAACCAGAAACCCAGCATGTGCTTTTGTAAATGGTCCCTCAATTAAATTCTCCTCAAATTACAAAGAAAAAAACTAGGTATAAGGGACTTTGATGAAGCAATTTCTAGAAATTTAATTAGCACAAAGGAAATGTAAAGCTTTAAGATAAGCAGGTTAACTTGTATGTTATAAGACCTGCTTGACTTATTACACCTTAAATCTAATAGCAGAACTATAACATCTCATTAAAAAATACACACACACACACACACAAACAGTTGTGCCCTTTGCTCACATACTTTCTAAGCATCTGGGAAAAAAATGGCTTTTAGGCTTTTGTAGCATATATGGGCCAAGAACAAATCTGAGGCTGTAACTCTTAAGTCCTTAGTTCCAAAAGCTTTCTTACTTATTAAACTATTACTGAAATTTATTTCATTTGAAATCTAAGTAATATCTTCATGATAGATACACTAAGTTATTTATCTTTTTTCCCTTAGTTCATGTGCAGTTCAGTTCTTCTCCAGAAGAAACTTAAAGAAACATCTACATTTTGATAAATTTATCATGTTATTTATTCATTCAACAGAACTCTGAGTGACTACTATATGCTAGACCCTATGCTGTATAGAAGAGGATACAGTGGTGAGAAAAAAGGCAATGGTGTTGTTCTTATTGTGTTTCCAGTTTGGAAATTTTAATGTCACACATGTCATTCTCACCAGTTACAGAGTTTTTACTACAAGTTAGGCACATGGCATCCTAGTTGGTTGCAAAGAATAGTGCACAGTACAAAAACCTTATAGCCATGATATCACTTTTTTTTTTTCTCCTTTTTGCAGAATTACTTTTCTGAGTGAACTGTGCTGCTGAGGGAATTCAACTTGGTTACTAGTTGGCATCGTACATTGTCTTCCAAAGGAAATGCCCCAGTTATACGCTGGGAAACTATTTTGTGTAAACATTAAAACTTGGTGTCAAAGTAAATGGGATGGAAGAAAATCGTTTGTTTTTTTTTAATTTCACTTTTTAAAAATTATTAAAGCAGAATAGAGGGAGAAGTGAAAAAATTTGTCACCTGACAGAAAGAGAATTAGGAAGATTTGTTCAGTCCTTCAACAAATGGGTCTCCTCTATTTAGGCTCTCAAGACACAGTAGTGAACAAGGCAAGCAATAGGTTGATAATCAGAGTCATAAAATGTTCATTCAGTTACTACTTTTGAATGATTGCTTGCCATATTCCTAAGGTGTACTAGGCCCTAGTAATATATATATTTTATTTTAAAGATTTGTTTTTTTAATGTGGACCATTTTTAAAGTCCTCATCGAATTTGTTACAGTATTGCTTCTGTTTTATGTTTTGGTTTTTTGGCCCTGAGGCATGTGGGATCCTAGCTCCCCGACCAGAGATCAAACCTGCACTGCGTTGGAAGGCAACATTCTAACCACTGGACCACCAGGGCAGTCCCAAGGCCCTAGTAGTATTAATGTTAAGTTTACTTGGCCTTCAGAAAGCTCACTGTCTAGATATAAAATGCTATGCAAAGTTCACAAATAGAGGGCTGTTTAAAAGATTATAGGAGGAGCACACAGAAGGATGGAGTTCTATACAAAGGAGATGGCTTTTGACTGGGCCATGAAAAATGAGTAGGAGTTCACTAAGAGAGGGTCATGGTGGATGAAAGGTATTCTAGTCAAAGGCAACCACGCAGGCAGAGGTAGGGTAGCATCAAAGTAAGTGGCATATTCGAAGTACAGCAAAGAAGCCAATGGCTAAAGCATAAGATAGGTGGGAAGAATAGCTGGAAATAGGACTAAAGGACAGGGGTGGAGGGGTGGTTAATTGTCAGGGTGTGGAGAGCCATGCCATGGGGACTTTGGATCTTAACCTATAAGCAGTGCACAGCCATCGGAAGTAGTTAGTAAGGAGGGTAACATAAGATAACTCAGGCAACAGTGAATATGTAGGCTTGGAAAGAGAAACAAGAGAACAGTTGAAAACTTATTGCCAACGTCTTTGTTAGCCTTGAGAGCCTGAGAGCAGCTGGAAGAGAAAAGGAATGGCTGTTAAAAATATTAGCAATAGAATTTAAAGCACATGATAACACATTGAAAATGCAGGATGAAGGAAGAAGTGTCAGAAGAATTCAGGATTCTAGCTTAGGTGAGTGGTTGGTTGTTGCTGTGTAACTGAAATAAGGAGTACAGGTAAAGGAGCAGGTGTTGGGGAGAGATGGAAGTCAGGTTTGGACCTGTTGGGATCAGGTTTGGACACGCTGAGTTTGAGGTCTCAGTTATCTGGGCAGATATGCCCAGCAGGCTGTAGGAAATTTCAGGTCTTTTGTTCAGAAAACAGAGTATAAAGATTTGGGAGCCATCAGCATGTGGAGTATTATCTAATAATCAAATTAGTGAGCTCAAGAAAATATATATACCAAGAAAATTAAAAATATGGAGGACAGAACCTGGAGAGGACAATATTTTTAAAAGGTGGGGTGTGGGCATCTAGAGAGAGATTGCAGGTAAGTTAGGGACTGAGAAAAGGCCACTAGGTCTCATTATTAAGAAGTTTATAGAGAAAGAATAAGGATAAGATAGAAATTAAGAAAAAATAATTCCGTTTTGGTTCAATAGGATATTGACAGGGATAAAGAGCTGAGGAGGATTTCTCATACTATAGCTGATTAATGGAAAGGCACTTGTGCTAGACCATTCTGGTCAGAGAGAGAGGCCCCAGAGAATAAAAAGAATATACTGGATAAGGGAGAATTGTCTGGAGTCAGCATCTTCTATCGCCAGGCACTATTTACTGGCAATAAAGCAGTAAGTAAAATAAAGCTCTTGCTGTTGTGGAGCTTTCGTCTAATGGATGGGGCAGGGAGGGTGGGGAGGATATACAATAAACAGGAAACTCCACGAAATGTCCAGAATAGTTGCTCTGTAGGAAAGCAAATCAGGGAAGAGTTTTTAAATAGGGTGACCTGGGGAGGCTTTACTGATAAGGTGTCACTGAGCACAGACCTGAATGACACGAGGAGTGATCCCTTACAGAAATAAAACTTTGAAGGGTTTGATTTTTCTTCACAATTAATTTCTTATTTATTGAATTAATCTTTCTATTCTTTTCCTTAGGCACCGTAAGGAGATTCCTCGAAATTCACGGAGAGACTATTGAAAAAGTAGTATTTGCTGTCTCTGAACTTGAAGAGGTATTTTGCTAATTATCTTGCATTGTTTAAACCTTATTTTCACTTGTAAGTGTTTGCCTCTGTCTCTTCATTATCTGTTAACTGAATTGCCAGCAGGGAAATCCTAATTATCTGTGCACATGTTCGGTAGTGGGGCTTACCATCATTTGTTGAAAAAGACTATACTAGAGACTAAAAGCAAGTCAAGAGGAGCATCTTGTCCATGTTTTTCACTGGTAAACTGTTATCACGCAGTAAACTCTTATAAGGTGGAGTTGTTCTGATTTACTCACTATATTAGCTCTCAAGACAGCTCAAGGCATCGCCTTATGACCTGAGCACTGGGTGCCTGGGCAGCATAACTGGAAAACCACCACTGCGGAAAAGCCCTGTTATCTCTGTGACCTGGAAACAGGTGACAGCCTAGCCTAGTGGCTAGTATTGAGTAAGTTGTGAGGTTTATGGTTTGTTATGTGTGGTTAGGTTTAGTATGTTTCCATTTAATTTAGAGCCATTTTAGGAAATAAGTTCTTTTTTAAATCTTATTAAGCTTTATTTAGCTTTAGTGTGCTCTGTCCCATTCAGCTTGTATTACTTCTGAGTTTTGTGTCCTTGGGCAAGTTTTGTGTCCTCTCTGTGCTTTGATAAAAAATGAATACTAACAGTACTTATATCATAGGAGTTTTGTGATAAATGAATTAATACATGTGAAATAGCCATTCAAAGTATATGTAGGTACATATATGAGATATAAACCATTTTGAATTTGCTGAAGTAAGACACATTTACCATGTTTGCTATCTCTTCTTGTTTCACCTGGTTTACCTATTCATTCATTCTCTCAGTGACCTATTATTGAATTCTAGGATATATCAGGTTTACTCCACTGGGTTCTGGGAATACACCAGTGGATGAGTCATGGTCGTTGTCCTCAAGGAGCCCACTGTCTGTTGGTGGGGACAGACAAGTCAGATAAGTTATGGTAATTGTGGTAAGGGCATTAATGGAGGTATGGGAAGGACAGGAGCACACAGCTCCAGCCTGGCATGCGGTTAGGAAATGCTTTCCATAGATAGTGATATGTAAGTTGAAATCATTGTAAAAGGTAACTAAAATTTTCCAAAGGAAGGGCAAATAACAGTAGTCATACAAGCATAAGCACAGGCATATAAGTAAGAAATAGCAGAAAGGGTGTAGTGTATTGCATAAAATGTGAGGCTAGGAGTCGCAAAAATGAAAGTTAGGCAGGTGCAAGATCACTCAAGGCCTGGTATCTCATACTTTATCAGTCATACAATGGGAGAACATAGAAGAGCTCCAAGCAGACGAATGATGTGGTCTCACTTCTGTATTAGCTATGTGGAGGATGATTTTGAAGGAGAAAGACAAGTGACAAGAAGAGATAATAAGCGGTTGTAATATTCCAAGTGAGAAATGATCAGACCTGAACAAGGGCACTGGAGGTGTTGAAATTTAAAAAAATATTAAACAAATTCAGCTGGAGTTGGAGGTCACAAATATGTAGGGGAAAAGAGAGAGGGAAGTTAAGGATGACTCCTAGATTTCTGGCTTGGATGACTGGATAATGATGCCGCCAGTGAGACAGCAGGTAGAAAGGGGGCAAAATTTTAGAGAGGGGAAGGGATTGAAGACACGTTCTGTTTTGAGCGTGTTGAATCCTAGGGGGTCAGTGTGTTCAACTGATGATCAGCAGGCCATTGTGCTTGTCAGTCTAAAGCTGAGGAGTGAAGTCTGGGCTAGAGATTTGACCATGTCATAGAATAGGATACCAAGTAAGGTACCAAGATAAGATACCCTGTTCTCAGGGAGTTTGTAGACTAATAGTTAGATAGCCAGATAAACAAAGACCACCCTGAAGTGTGGCAAGTGCTGTGCTGGGAGTGTACATCACAGTGCTGTGGCAGTCTATCAGGGCACCTAAGCCAGACCCAGGGGAACAGAGAAAAATTCTTCACCTGCAGTATACCTGAAAAAAATAGTCATTAACGTTTATCATCTAGGTCCAATGGACTTTTTTTTAAAAAGTCGTTTTCAGAATACTTTATTGAATAATAAAGGGATAATAAAAAACAATTTGATAAGGTATTTCAGTAAGAATTGAAATGTATCCAACCTTTTTATATCAAGTAAATTTTGTTGCACAAGCATCGTAAAAGATGAACGAATACTGTCACATCTTTCTAGTAAAGTGTTCTTATCACAAAATCCTGTATGGTCAAGTTCTTCCTATAGTGACTCACTGAATGAGAATGCCATATTTCTACTTTGCCCATAGAAATATGTTGTTGACTCATGGGTTCTTGAATTTGAGAAGATTAATCTAGGATATTGTCATCTGAAGACTCAGTGTCTGAGATTCACTTCATATGATCAATCTTAACCTCATCTTTAATGAAGTGCTGCTGTCTGTGTCTTTACATCCACCTTTGATTCCTTTAATAATTCTGAAACGTCATCTGTGTTCAGTTGTCTTCTCTTTGCTATTCTGGGCTGAAAATGAAAAAGTCTGAATTCTCAGATCTTTCCAATGAAAGTTAAAAACAGATTACAGACTACACATAAGAATAGAGATGCAAAAATTCTTAACAAAATATTAGTCAACTGAATCCAGCAACATATAAAAGGATTATGTAATATAACATCACCAAGTGGAATTTATCCCAGGAATGTTAGCTATGTTTTCGTATATAAAAAAATCCTAAGACGTCCACAAAAAAGCTGTTAGAACTAAGGGAGCTCAGCAGGGTTACAGGACATAAGATCAATATAAAAAATAGTGTTTCTACACACTAGCAAAGAATAATCCAAAAATGAAATTAAGAAAACAGTTGCATTTACAGTAGCATTAAGAAGAATCAAATATTTAAGACTAAACTTAACAGAAGAAGTGTAAGGCTTGTACATTGAAAACTGCAAAATATATTTGAAGAAAAACTTAAAAGACCTTAATAAATAGAAAGATATCCTGTTTATGGATTGGAAGACAATATTGTTAAGATGGCAGTATTCCCCAAATTATTCTACAGATTCAGCAAAATCCCTATCAAAATCCCAACTGAGTTTTTTGTAGAAATTGACAAGTTGTTTCTGAATTTCACATGGATATGCGAGGGACCCAGGATAGTCAAAACAACCTTGGAAAAAAAGGACAAAGTTGAAGGATTCACACTTAACTTATTTTGAAACTTACTCCAAGCACAGTAAGTAAGACTATGTTGTACTGACATAAGAATAAACATATAGATCAGTGTAATAGAATTTTGACATGGCTGCCAAGACAATTCAATGAAGAAAGAATAAATAGTCTTATAAACAAATGGTATTGGAGCAACTGGTTATCCACATGCAAAAGAATGAAGTTGAACCCCTGCTTCACCCATATAAAGGAAATTAGCTCAAAATGTATCTAGGGACTAAGTATGAGACCTAAAACTATAAAACTGTTAGAAGAAAACATAGGTATAAATCTTCATGACCTTGGCTTAGGCAGTGGTTTCTTAGATATGATGTGATGTCAAAGACACAAGCATCCAAAATAAAAATACGTAAATTGGTCACTCTTATAATTCAACAGTAAAAAGACAAATCACCCAATTTTAAAATGGACAAAAGTTGGTATTTACCCAAAGGAGTTGAAAATTTATGTCCTCACAAAAAACTACAAAGGATGTTTATAGCAACTTTATTAATATTTGCCAAAACTTGGAAGCACCAATATGTTGGTAGGTGAATGGGTAAATAAACTGTAATACATCCAGACAATGGAATATTATTCAACACTAAGAAGAAGTGAACTATCAAGCTATGAAAAGATATGGAGGGACCTTAAGTGCATATTACTAAGTGAAAGAAGCCTATCTGGGACTTCCCTGGTGGCGCAGTGGTTAAGAATCCACCTGCCAATGCAGGGGACACGGATTCGAGCCCTGGTCTGGGAAGATCCCACATGCCGCGGAGCAACTAAGCCCGTGTGCCACAACTACTGAAGCCCGCGCGCCTAGAGCCCACATGCCACAATTACTGAAGCCCGTGTGCCAAGAAGCCCGTGCTCCACAACAAGAGAAACCACTGCAATGAGAAGCCCACACACTGCAACAAAGAGGAGTCCCCGCTCGCCACAACTAGAGAAAGCCCGCGTGTAGCAACAAAGACCCAATGCAGCCAAAAATAAATAAATAAATAAATTTATTTAAAAAAAAAAAAGATGCCTATCTGAAAAGGCTGCATACTGTATGATTCCAACCATCTGATGTTCCAGAAAAGGCAAAACTACCAAGAAAGTAAAAAGGTCAGTGGTTGCAAGAGGATGGGGGAGGGATGAATAGAGCACAGAGGATTTTTAGGGCAGTGAAAATACTCTTTATGGTACTATAATGATGGATACAAGTCATTATACATTTGTGCAAACCTGTAGAATGTACAACACCAAGAGTGAACCCTAATATAAACTATGGGTGATTAGACGTGTCAGTGTAGGTTCATCAGTTATAACAAATGTACCACTCTGGTGGGGGTTGGTGATAATGAGGGAGACTGTATGTGTGAGGGCTGAAGGGATATGGGAAATCTCTCTACCTTCTTCCCAATTTTGTTGTGAGCCTTAAACTGCTATGAAAAAAATAAAATCTTAAAAAATGGGCAAAAGTTTTGAATAGACAAGCACATGGGAAGATGTTCTATAACATTAACCAATAAGGGAATATAAGTCAAAATCACAGTGAGGTACCACTTCACACTCACTAGTGTGACTTTAATTACAAAGACAGACAATAACAAGAGTTAGGATGTGGAGAAATTGGAACCCTCATACATAGCTAGTGAGAATGTAAGATTGTGCAGCTGCTTTGGAAAACAGCCTGGCAGTTCCTAAAAAAGTTAAAAAGAAATTCCGGTCTTAGGTATATGCAGAATAGAATTGAAAACATATGTCCACACAAAAACTTGTACGCAAATATTCATATCAGCGTTATTCATAACAGCCAAAATGTGGAAACAACCTAAATGTCTGACTTACCGATAGATGGATAAACAAAATATGGTATATACATACAATGGAATATTATTAACCTATAAAAAGAATGAAGCACTGATATATCCTGCAGCATGGGTGAACCTTAGAAACATTATGCTAGGTGAAGAAAGCCAGACACAAAAACCATATACTGTATTCCATTTTAATGAAATGTCTGGAATAGGTAAATCTATACAGACAGAAAATGTTAGTGGTTGTCAGGGGCTTGGGGAGGGAGGGGTGGAGAATGACCTAGCTAATGAGCTTAGATTTTCTATCTGAGATGATGAAATGTTCTGGAATTAGATAGTGGTGATGATTACACAACTTCGTGAATGTACTAAAAACCAGTGAATCGTATACTTTAAAACGTGAATTTTATGGTACATGAATTATATCTGTTTTTTAAAAAGGCTGCAAAGATGTTGTGTCTATTTCTTTTAATTGAGTACAGTTGACTTACAATCCAGTCTTCTTATGTACCTCATATAATATACTTATTTACATGAAAGATGATGAAGTATTGCAGGTGACATAATAGGAAAACTGACAGATAATGATTTCTCTGCCCTTCTAGGCAATTCCATCGTTCTTTTGGTTTCTTATTATTCTATTGTAGTTTTTTCTGGTATAGTTGGGGATAATTGATGAATAATGGTAAAATAATTCTAGGATGATGAAAAAGCAAAATGCTTCAAGATACAGGAAAAATAAGAGCACTAAATATCTATAATGTATCATGGATTTAGGAATGAGTCCAATGGACCAACCCATATGGAAATTATAAGATAGAATGAGTTTTATTCTATTTTTTTAAGTGAGATATATCTTTATTCTTTGAGAAATCTCTAAGAAAGAATGGAAGTCATGAAATAGCAATCCTTCACAAAGAGTTAGAACTGTTAAAAAAAAAAAATCTCAAAAACTAAACCTGGGTGCAATGGACCCTGATGGCACACTGAGGATTAAGGAAGTGGTGTCTGAGCTGAATCTTGAAAGACAAATATCACTAGTGAGGTGAAGGAGGGGCTGGGGACAGGGGTCACAGAACTTCTCATTCCAGGTTCAGTGACCTGGAACTGCCAGGATGGGAATCATGCTCAACTTGCGTGACTAACAAAACCCTGATCCTTAACACGAGAACTGATTGAGGGTCCCAGGCAGCACGCAGTCTGAGCTTAGAAGTGGTGTGGCCTTTCTCCGGGATGAAGGCTGTCTTCACGGTGTAGGGAACAACACTAAGCACTGCTGGTGCCTGCTCCATTACTTCGTTAGTTTTCACACAATGTTTGGCTTTTCTCACACAGGCTACTTACCAAAAGCTGCTACCTCTGTACTTCCCAAGGTCATTAAAGGAGGAGAGTTGCTCATTGCCATACCTACCTGCAGATATTGGAAATGCAGAAGGGGAGCCTGTGGTACCAGAACGGCAGATAAGAATAAGTGAAAAACCTGGCGCCCCGGAGGGTGAGTTCTCCTTTTCTTACTTTCCCTCTTAAGGAAGCAAAGGCTCTGCTAAACATCAGCCACCGAAGAAGTAGGAAGTTCAGCCTGACCCTTGGGAGGCTATTGTGTGACACTAAGATCAACACCACCTTAGGTGTTTTTAGAGTCTTATTCTTGTTAAGGTTTACTCTTTAAATGTAAAAAATATATATATATGTATTATATTATATAATGTCAAGTCTGTGTTAGGCAGTAGAGATTCAGAGGTGGATATGACAACATTTTTACCCTCACGAAGTTTATAGTTTCATGAAGGACACTGTTGAGGAAGCAATCAAGTATATTATCATCTAAAATTTTCAACAGCTTCAACTGTGTCCTCTGAAGGCCATACCTAACATTAAATACTGAAACAAGAATGCTGTTTTGTTTTGTTTCTTTAGGTTACATACCCCTGTAGATTGAAGTGATAGTAGAGCAGGGTAGGATGGGAGCTCCTCTGAAGCTGTTCTGTATGACAGCTTGTACTGATCTTCTTGGATACGTGTTATTGGAGACATGCCTCACAAGCTTCATTGCTGGAACTTGCAGCAGTTTAAGAATTACTGTGAGATTCCTGCTGTGAACACTTTTAAATGAGCATCAAGTTAAAATCTATAGAAGGCTACTCATCTCTTTTTTATCACCAGTATTTTTATCAGAAAATGTCTGTGAACAAAGCTTTCCTGGAGGGGTACTCATGTACTTTTAGGGAGCCACCAATAGAGTACAGCCTTGAAATGTGCCCAGCATCATTTGGAAATCCTCATAATTGTGACTACCACAATAGAATATAATTTTTCTTAAATGCGTAAAATGTGTTTTATATGACAAGGAGTAATAAAAAGCAAAATCAGCTGAGGTAGCAGTACTGGGCAGTCATTAGCCAAAAGGTTCCCTTCTGTCCCCCATCCTCAAAGACTGCTTGATTTGCATCCATATCTCAGAAAATATTGTTACCTCATAGGCTCTAGTGTTCATAAATATTTTCAGTTAGAATATAGAATCTGTTAAAATAGATGTAAAATCAGCCTTGCCTGAGGGATTGAGAGAAGATTCATTTATGGGTATTTTTTTAAATAAAGGCACACTCAGCCCTTGCCTGTCACAGTTTGAGGAGCAGTAGTATAGATGTGGGGAGGTCCCAGCTGAACGGCCTCAGGTGGTGGCATTGCCTTGGGAAGCTCCCCTGCCATGGTCCAAGGATTTTGTTTGTTTGCTTTTCTTTCTTTAAAAAAGAATTTTTTTTAAACAGATCTAGTGAGGCAGTGGGGAACACATTAAGAGATGATCCATTCCCAAGGGACTGGCTGCTAGCCAAACGTAAAATGATCATATGGATAAATCAGAAAGGTAACATTAATTTGTAGTGAGAACTGTAACTCTTATGTACCAGAATGATTATGTAGGCATGACCAGTGTAGAAAATCAGACCGCTAGTCAAAACATATCTTAGTGAATGCGGATCACACCCTGAAATCCTGGTCCATCCGTCTTCCTTCAGGGGTTACCTGACAAAAGGACTGAAGATTATGTGCCAGCCATTCAAGTGCTCCCTTCTTAAACAATTCTGGATAAATGACCCCAAACATTTTTTCTTTCTATTTCTCTTTGGTTAGGTGTTGTGCTGCAGTTCATCTTTAAACCCACATACAGTATAATTGCTTCTATCTTTTTGTTTATTATTACGTTCTACTCTTTTCTTCCTAAGGTTACATCTAGGTCCCCTTGATTTGATTTCATGTGTTCCTAAAACTTCCATCCCACATGGACAGGTGGTTTCTTTCATTATTTCAGTTCTTCAAATGCCTGAATCTGATTTCAGTTTCATTCTCAAAAAATAACCTTAACCCTGGTTTTTTGAGTTTCTGTGCACTCATCCCTATAGCAGCATTCACAGCCTGTTTGTAGCATTTACTGTCAAGTTTTGCCATCTCTATTGATAGTATTTGTGTTGCAGACAACCAAGAAGAGGAGGATGAAGGCTTGGGAGTTGATCTCTCTTTCATTGGCTCTCATGCTTTTGCTCGAATGGAAGGAGATATTGATAAGCAAAGAAGACTGATCCTTCAGGGACAGTTATCAGAGGCAGCCCTGCAGAAGCAGCATCAAAGAAAGTAAGGCAAACCCCTTTGGACTGACAGACACATAAGGACATGAGAAACAAGAAAGGGCCTACCGCTGCTAAATGATCTACACGTAACGTGGTCTCATTTATTCTTCATGACAATCCACTAAGAAAGATATGTCCCCACTTTGTAGATGCAGAAATTCAAAGTTAATTTATCAGTGGACACCATTAGTATGTGATGAAGTCAGTGTTCAGATGCATCTCTGATTTCAGAGCTCCTACTCTTTCTACTGCGATTGTAGTGTCTTTGGGTGAGATTATATTCTAAAAGCAGAAAATAGGGGAAGGGAAAAACCAAGTCACAAGGTTTTTACTTAACATTACTATATTTATAATTAAAGCATAATCTATGGTTGTATTAACGTTAAAAGAGGTTTATTTCCCCCTGATTTATCCCAGGGACCTTATAAAGCCATTCCATTTCTTTCAGGTGTTTTCTAAAGCAATTCTGAGTAACTCTTTTTTGAAACATAAAGAAAAGCAGCTTTTGTACTTCTGGGTAAGCTTGTCCAAGGATTAACAAACAGTCCTTGGAAAGCTAGTTGCTTTTCAAAAAATGTTAAAGGAAAGGAAAAATCATACACCATAATTGATTAATATTCACTATCTTATAGGGTTGGTTGAGGGGATAACATCTCATAGCGTTGTTGTGAGTGTTAAATAAGATAATGTAATGAGCTTAGCACAGTACTTGGTACTTAGCAAGCTCTTAAAAATTGGTCACTGCTGTTCTCTTTAATACTGAGCAAATTATGGTCTATTTTACCTTTGAGCTTTGGTACTTGCCATCCCTTTTGCCTGGAATACTCTCATTCTTCAATTCCTGCTCATTCTCCAGGTTTAAGCTCAGAAGTGATTGCCTCTAGAAACTTATCTCCCTGGAGATAAGTTGGAATAGACAGAATAGAAGTCTGGAATCAATGCCTCCTCCGCATGCTTTTTTTTTTCTTTTTGTTTTTTTACATCCTGTACTTAACCAAAGGATAGCCTAGCACTTATCACACTGTACTGTAATGATGTGTGGTTGTTGTTAGTCTCCATGTATAAAGTGGGAGTCAGACTAGACGATCTCCGGAGTCCCTTATAGAATTAGAATTTTGTTTTTCCTGAGTTCCTGGTCTTCACTTTATTCTCCCTTTTTTAAAAAAAATTTATTTATTTATTAACTTTTGGCTGCGTTGGGTCTTTGTTGCTGCACACGGGCGTTTCTCTAGTTGCAGCAAGCGGGGGCTACTCTTCGTTGCAATGCACAGGCTTCTCATTGCGGTGGTTTCTCTTGCTGCGGAGCACAGGCTCTAGGCATGTGGGCTTCAGTAGTTGTGTCACACGGGCTCAGTAGTTGTGGCTCGCGGGCTCTAGAACGCAGGCTCAGTAGTTGTGGTGCACGGGCTTAGTTGCTCTGTGGCACGTGGGAATCTTCCCAGACCAGGGCTCGAACCCATGTCCCCTGCATTGGCAGGTGGGTTTTTAACCACTGCACCACCAGGGAAGGCCAGTTCTCCTTTTATTTTCATGAACAAAAGCTAATTAGTCACTAGGGGGCACCAATGAACAGCTTTTCTAAAGGCAAGCACAGTCGAATGACAGTTTCAGTGGTTTCTGAACTTGGCCATGTGTACGAATCATCTGGCAAACATTTTTCTTTAAATACAGTGACTGGGCTTTCCCTCACATGACTGGGATTTGGCCTCTATATATATTTAAAAACTTTTTCACATCATGATTCATGTACAACTAGATTTGGGTACCTTTTTTTTGGACTAGGGCAGTGGTTCTCAAACTGTTTGGTCTCAGGTCCCCTTTGCATGCTTAAAAATTATTGAGGACCCCAAAGAGCTTTTGTTTTTACCTGGCTTATACCCACTAATATTTATCGTATGATAAATTATTTGTTAATTCATTTAAAAATAACCCATTATGTTTTTATGAAAAATAACTATTTTTTAGGTCAGTGAGAAATGCAGTGTTTTACGTTTTTGCAGATATTTTAATGTTTGACTTAATAGAAGACAGCTGGATTCTCGTATCAGCATTCAAACTGTTGCAATACTTTGTTTTGGGTGAAGTATATGAAGAAATTTTGACCTCATTCAGATACGTAGTTGGAAAAAGGTGTATTTTAATAGCCTTTTCAAATAGTTGGGGATATTCTTTGATATTACCCCATAACTCAATATAATGGTAGTTTCATAATGTTGTAATATGGAATCTCAAACCATATTTATGAATTTTTGTATTGTTATATTAAAATGTGTTGTTTTATCCTGCACTTTGAGTAGATTTTATAATAGGAATTTAGAGCACGAATTTACAGCATGATGTGTTGGTCTTTTGGAAAATATTGACTCACGTAATTATTCAGTTGTTCCAAATATTGACACATTACATTACACAATATCAAAAACTTATATTTGATAATATCACCACTGATCTCATCAGAAAAGTCCTTAAGTATTAGAAACTGTTAGCTTCTGGTGGTGGATACAAATTTTCTAACATTATATCTGTATTTTAAAGCTCAAATTTTATCACTGGTAACAAATACTGTTGGTTGTTTTTCTTGAAATGGCAGGGTCACTTTATTCATTTTTGACAAAACATCTGCCAAATACTCATGTTAAATAACCACAGTTTGTCTGCCAGTGATTAGTTGAAGAAAAACGGTGTTCCATGAAAAAAAGCAACTGGTTCAGCTTGCAAGTCAAACAACTAGATCTTTTCTTCAGGACAGCCTCATGCTTTGGTCTGCAGAAATGCTTTGTGTGTTCTTCCCATTTTGTGACACATTAATATTAAAAAGATGTATTTCCGTGGGTTAATGAATAAAATTAATAATTTTTTCTTCCTCATCAAAGACATTCTTAAATGAAACTGGCTTTTTTTTTCCTGTGAGTATTTTGGCAATTAAGAACACAACGACTACTAGTACAATCTGGTGCTTCCACCTGAATTCATGCTAAAGCAGCAGTAGTTTTATCCAACAGTTGCTTTTGCACCATCAGTGCAGATGTCAACACAGTGAAAAACAAATGATGTTTTGGTGTTATTATGAAAATAGTTTTGACTTTGCAAAACCCCTTGAAAAAGTATTGGGACTATGCACCACACTTTGAGAACCACTGGTCTGTGGTCTCTCAGCAGTACATTATAGTTGAAAGGAGTTTTGGTAATTATCTGATACAGCTTTCTGAAATGTAGTATAAAGTGTATAAGCATTAGAATTACCAGGGGTGCTTGCTAAAAATTCATAGGCCCCACACCAAACTTCCTGAATCAGAACCTTTGTGGGAAGGCCTCAGGAATCATTCTTCTAAGGTTTCTTAGATGATTTCTTAGATGATTTTGTACCTGATCTGGTCTGATCCCTCTAATTTACAGAAGGGTGAATTGATCACCAAGAGTGACTTGACCAGAGTTACAGCTAGTTGAGGATGAGCCTTCAAGGTGGCTACTGCAGCTCATCTCCCTTCTCTACTACCATCTCCAGGCACCTACACAGACCAGCTTCAGAGAAGCTGGGAAAGGACCAGACAGACATATTTTGTTTTCATATACAGAGAACTGCTTTGTTACCACCTTTCTCAAATCAGTTACCCTATTCTCTCCTCTCTCTTTTCCCTCTCTCTGTCTCTCTCTCTCTCTCTCTCTCACACACACACACACACACACACACACACACTCACACACACCCCTTTTTAATTTTTGCATGAGTGATACAGATAAAGTGGCATTTGTTTTTGTCTGGACTGGATACTTGCCTGTCTATTGCTCTCTTTAATGAGATTTGTTTCACTTAATGATGACTAGTGCAAACCAGTTTAGAATGAATCTGTATTTACTGAGTCCATGCTTTCTGGAAAGGGGTCATCAGCAAAGGGGTAGGTTCTAGGAAGGAATATGAATACAGCATGTAAAGCATTGTCCTTCTTTTTGGTAGAAGGCCATGATCTTGAGATTCAAGTTAGTCACATAGTTGACAGTTTCCAGTCAGTTCAGGAAACGTTGGATATTTACTCTGTACAAGATAATATTCTAGAACTGAAATATACAGATAAAGAAAGTAGTCTCTCTAGTCTAGAAATTCATGAGTGAGCCACACTACCCTCACATGTCATGGTGTGTCCTGTGCAGTGCTGAGGTTGCTGTGCACATCCAATTAACACATAGCTACAGGCTTGGGGAAGAGCACAACCTATGGTTCCCAGAGCTTGAACCAGGAAACAAAGGCGTGGTACCCCTGCCACTCACTTCCCTTGAGTGATAAGTTACATCTGAATCAAAAGATTTTCAGATTCCCTATTCATGTGCCCCATGTGTGTGATAATTAAAGATGAGGTCTTGTCAGCAGCTCAGAAGTGTGACCCAGGAAACCTAGACCCTTTCGGGGAGCCCATGAGGGCAAAACTCTTTTTATAATCTTACTAAGACTTATTTGCTCTTTTCATTCTCGTTCTTGTAGTGTTCAATAGAGTCTTCCAGAGAGTACTTAATGTGTGATATTGCAGTAGGTTAAATGCAGAAGCAGATGTAAGAATCTAGCATAAATTAAAGAGATTTGCAAGAATGTAAGAGTGTAACTCTTCTCCCTAAACATAGCTTATTTAAAAATAAGTTATCTGTGTTCACATAATAGGTTTTTATTATTTTTGAATTAATAAATATTTTTTATAAATCTCTCTTTTTATTTCTAAAATGGTAAATATTGGTAGGTGTAACTGACATAAATATGAAAGGGTCCTGAGACTCAAAAGCTTGAGAATTGATGACTAATCGTTTAGGAATTTTCTATATAACTGAGCTGTAGGTCATCTGTTTACATACTCTGCCATGGCTACATGTTTAAGACTGTAGTTTAAAATTTTTATTTCTCTTACTCTTTCTAAATCAGGATTTTATTTACACATGTTGAGTTTGGTTTCTGTTATGTTTGTTGATCAAGTTGAACAAATGATAAATTTTTTTAAATCTCTTAGGAAGTAAGTACATCTTTAGTTAGAATTATCTTTTTGAAAGCCTTCAATTCTTCCTTCAGTAACAAAACCAACGGTCACATGGATCGGCTATAGGGTTAGATCATTCCTTTCATAGCATTGCCTTGTCTCTGTGTAATAATTTGCTTGAACATCTAAAATAATTAGACATGTTGTCTAGGTCTTGATTAATATTTCCAGGTCTTCCATCCAGTTGTGACACAGTTTGGGCATATCACTCTTAAAATTATTTCACAAGAACTTTCTTCTTTTTCATTAGTGTTCCTTGGTTGGCTTAAGATCCAGTTGCCTATAACTCATGTCATTTCTCACAGTAAAAACTTTATTTCATTCATTATTAAATATTTATTGAGCCCTTACTAACGTGCCAAGCTAGAAACATAATAAAGTGTCATGCAAGGCACATACAGCCCCAGGCCTCATTGAGCCTAGGGTCTTGCAAAGGAGAGAAATGTTAAACTAATTATTGTATGAAAAATGTATTTAGATTACAGGGTGCAATAAGAGTGTATAGCAAGGATTTTAACTAAGTCCAGTGTGGGATAGTTGCATCAAGTCAGGAAAAGCTTCTGTTAATTAATTCTATTTTGTACATCTGAGTCCCAGTTTAAAAATTTTTTTTTCTTCACAGTTCATTGAATACATAGTTACTGAGTGTCGGGAACTACCCTAGAAATTTGCTAGAAATATAGAGACAACTAAGACATAGTCCCTATCTTGAGGTCCAACAGAGTAGAAGCAAATATTGCAGTGAGTGGGTAAAGCCTTGTGCTGATCTTTGTGACATAAAGAAGGGAGAAGTTAGTTCTATAACAGGCCTGGACCTTGCCTCCACTTCCGCTCACTCCACCCCCAACCCCCACTCCTACCCCTGCCAGTCCCCACCTTAGCGTACATACTTGATTGATACAGTATTTAGGTGTCTGCTGTATTGCTTATCTCACTGGGTCTTATTACAATGTTAGTTGTCTTTGTAATATGTCTATCTCATATATTCAACCTCAAACTCTGAAGCCAAGGGCCTTTTATTATTCTTCTCAGGCCTCCAAAATACCTTGAATAATACTCATGTTTATTATTTTATTCAACAAAGATTTGAGTCCTTGCTATGATGCAGGCATTGCATTTATACAATAAATCTTTGAAAATGAGCTAATGAATACACAGAGAGTATAGAAAATAACAGATATTTACTGAATTCCTGTTACATGTTCTGTGCCATGACCTGTGGTGCTCATAAGGCATTTAAGACATATTATTCTGTTTAGTCTTGATGTGTGGAGATGGCTTAATCATAAAACAATTAGAAAGCAGGACAATAGGGGAGTTAGTGTAAATAACCTCAGAAATAGCTCTGTATGAAAATATGGAATAGTACATATGAATAGGGAGAACTACAATAAACACAGATCCTTTCTTGACTTGCAAATTATATCTTAAACTAAAATTAAAAGTTATTGTCTTTGAGTTCAGTTTGCACAGGTGGGCACGTTTCTAAATTTAAAAACATAGACTATAGAACTATGCAATACTAAGTATTGTTTTCACAAACAATAACAATTTCTGTGAAACTAGCAGGCATATCACTTGTTGATTACAAGCATATCACTTGTTGATTACAATCCGTATGTAATAGACTTCCTATTAAATATCCTTAGTGTGTGATTGTACTTCATAGCTGAAAGGTGTCCTACAGAAACACCGTTTTGCAAATGAGGAAACTGAGGTCCATAGAGGTGAAACTACTTTACCGAGACTGCATAGAAAGTGATAGCGTGAGGACCCAAGTATCCTCTCTTCCGGTTTAGTTTTGTTTGTTTGTTTTTATGTTGTGGGATGTTGCCACATGTGACCTAGATGCTTCAAAGTTGCTTTTCATGCATTTAGGTACCTTGAAAGCTTTTTTCACAATTAAGTAAGTGGCACTTTGAATTTTAAGAAAGCAAGTGTGAAATAGTAGAAAAAGTACTGACCTTTCCAGCAAACTGGAGACTTGAGTGCAACTTCAAATTCAACTCTACCATTAACTGGTAACTCTAAGATTTATTTGACCTTTTTCAGATCGCTTCCACTCTTTGAGATCTTTACGTTTCTTCCAGTTTCAGTATCCTCTTAGCCAAAGCCAAACTGCCATCTTTATGATCTGGTATATAGAGTATCAGCACAGCTACTTTGATTAGCCAGTCATTAAATAAGCCTGGACTTCCCAGAAAAAATTACCTACTTTCTTTGTGGTCCAACATAACATGTACAACACTTACCTGTTTTTCTTCTGAAAAGTAAACTTCTTGAGGGTCTGACCATGTCTGTTCACTAGAGTATTCTCAATACCTCTTGTGTAGTAAGCACTCAATAAATCTTTGTTGAATTAGTGAACATCTGTTGTGGAGAACTGCTATTGCTTTAGGCCTTCTTTGCTTTTTTTTTTTTTTTTTTTTTTTTTTTTTTAAGAAAAGATAATATTATTTAAAAACAATGTTAGAGTACTTGGTATCTTAGCCAATTATATGAGTAGTCTTCATTTGCTCATAAAGGAACTTAAAAAATCATCTAGTGTGAATACCTTCCTTTCTCAGTAACTCATTTTTTTTTTTAATCAATAACAGAGTAGAGATTCTGCATAGTGTAACAGCCTCTTTAACTCCTTTCTCATTATAATAAAACATTATTCTTTAGGAACACAGACAGATAAAAACAGGTCTCATTTATAAATTTACAACTGTTTATTATAATAATTATATCCTTTATTTCTCTAGTTATAATCGCTGGTTGTGTCAAGCAAGATCTGAGGATCTATCTGATATTGCTTCTCTAAAAGCCTTATACCAAACAGGTGAGCTTAAGGATATGGTAACTTATTCTTTTACTGATTAAGAATCTTACTTAGCATGCTATTAGAGACTTCACTTTTCTCTGATTTTGTCCATTTTATCTCTGAATAGATTTTTTTTGTACAATGGAAGATAGTTTTTGCTCATCATCAAGATCGGCAAAATAGCATCTCAACCTATAAGATTTTCAGCTAGTAATTCTACATTGGCCAACTTCATTTCTTCTCAGTGTCCTTTTTCCTATCTTTTAATTTTTTTCTACTTTTAAAAGTACCATAATCCTGCTGTACAAAATTCAAACCTTACATAAATAAATAACGGAGACAGTAAAAGTTATCAGATTCCCCCTTTATATTTCTTTTCCAGGCAGTACTTGTTAATTTTCAGATTTGAGTTCCATTTAGTTTTTCCTGGATCACTGATGTTATTAAAAGTTGTAGTATGCTTAAACAAAAAGCTATTTATAAAAAAATCTTTACCCTCAACATTACCTTTGGCTGTCCCTGATTTAAAACCTGTAAGAGGGCTTATCTTAAAAGTAAGGGCAGTCATCAAAACTTCATGAAGCTGGAAAGAAAAAGAAGAGAAAGGCGATGTTTTCCACATACTAAAAGAAGTCTGAAGATGAAATCTGAAAAACTTATGTTCCTCGTTTTCAGTCTTTTACATTTGTGTAGAACATTTTTATAAGGTCAGAGCCCAGGACAGATAATATTCTTGGAATAAAGTTTCTGGGTGCTCATTACATTTCCTGTTTGTAGGTGTTGATAACTGTGGTCGCACAGTAATGGTGGTAGTTGGAAGAAACATTCCTGTAACATTAATAGATATGGACAAGGTAAGCCATTAAAAAGCTTTGTTTTATAAATAATGTTGATTTCAAAAATAAGTAGGACATGAATTTGGAATCAGGGCTTAGAATATGAGACAGAATTGTGTATCTGTGATAGAGTAGCAGCCCTGATTCTGCCAAGTTGGCACATAGCATTTCAGTAAGGGGTTTGGTTTTGCGCTCTGGGAGAAACGGAAATACTGAATTGCCATACTGTGATCTCCAAAAATGCAGCTGCTTTGTTTTGGATATGATGTAACTGGCAAGTTTTTGGTTGGACTCATTCTGTATTATAAGTGTACTAATAATCAAATTCTGCTTTTCTTGAAACAAGAAACATTAACTCTTTTATCTCTCTGAAGAGACGATGTAGTTAGCCCAAGATGTCATAATTTCGTAATCCCTTCTTTTGGAGGTAAAGGACAGAAATAGATGATTCATAGCAGAAGAAATGGTATTACTAGTAAACAAAGTGTTCAACCTGATTAGTAGTAAAAAACAAAAAAAGTGAGATCTCTTTTCTCACCTTCAAAACTAGCCATTACTTTTACTTTTTTTGTTTTTTTGATAGATAAGAAGTGATTTATTAGAATAGGACACTTGTGAGGCTTACAGGCGGGTGGGCAAGAAGGTGCTGCACCCCGAGACCTTAGTGGGCTACAGTTTTATAATCAAAGGAAAAGTGGTGAGGGGGAGAAGACCACCTTCTTCCTCATTCTGAGTAGACGTCACGCTTCTGTCGTCATTTCCTCCTCCACGTCAGGCGGGGGAGTTTTCTTGTCCCTGCATGTTCCAGCTGGGACTGTCATCAAAATTAGCCATTACTTTTAAATAATAATCATTGTTACCAAAGATGAATTGAAACTGTCAAAGTGGTCACGCCCACTGACCCATTAATTCCATTTCCGAGAATTTGTACTAAGAAAATAATCCTAGGTTTGAAAGTAGCTATAGGCCCAGAAATTGCCCAAATTGGAATACTTGGGCAAGGGACAACTGAATCCATGGGATAAATATGTAGATCTTCCTAGAACAATTGTAATAGACACGGACTGCAAAGGAGGAGAATCACTTTAATAAATAATTCTTAACCATAGTAAAAAAAAAAAAAATGTACTCAAAAGTGTAAAAATTAAATACAATTTTAAGATAAAACACAGTTGTGCAAAAGGGAATAATTTTATCTGGCTAAGCCCTTAAACTCCTGGTCACTGGTGTTTGGGTAAAAAAAACTGTGGAAGCCCTGGATCGGGCATGTTACTCACAGGCTCATTTGTGGCCCAAAATTATAACTTAAATTCCTAACAGGTAATTATTATGCATCCACAAATGGAATGTTCTGTGACCCTGAAAAATTATGGTTATAGAGGCAAGTACTATAGAGAAATGTTTATGGTATAATATCAGTAGGAGAAGAAACAACACCTTGTATGTACATTGACCTTTTTGTGGGGGAGGGGGGCATGGTGCGAGTTTATGCATATCAGTATCTCAAAATGGATTTCATAGTTTTAAGGAGAATTTGTTTTCTACATTTTTCTGTCATATGGCTGTACTTTTTTATAATGAAAAAGATTCAAGCTAAAGACAGGGAATTTGAAGCTGAAAATGGATATCTTGATTGCCTTGGGGAGGAGGTGGTGAGTGGATAGAAAGAGGACCAGAAGCAGTCTGGCAAGAGCAGAAATAGTAATAAAAATACACACACATATACACACGGGGAAAAAAACAACTGATAATCAGTATGGCATTCATTCTCAGCATTAATAATGTGATTGATACCAATAAAAGCGTAAACCCCTGCCTTTGATTCTGGTGTGTACTTACATGGTGTTCTGGATGTTCGTGGTGTATCATTTCATATATATTGTAAAGTCCGAACCAGGTAGCAACTGGAAAGGTACTGTGTTTCCTTAGTGCCCTCCTCTGTCTGCTCTGGTAGCAGTTGGACCCATGCTAACTAATCCATGTTAGTCCATTCAAGTTAATGCCAAGGACTCCCCTGAGGAGGAATGGGGAAATAACCTGTTTGATAGTAATCCTTCAGTTGTTACCTCTTAGCTTCCTCTTTGTCATGGTTTATAGCTACACCACCGGGTCATGCTGGTCCTGCCCAGCATGATTATTATCGTGTCTCTGCTTTGTGTTTAATGTTTCTCTTAAATTTCATCCTTCTTGTAATGGCATATTCCTCTAACTGATCCAGGTCACATTAAGTTTGAGGCAGAGCAGGGAAGTGCTGCCCAGCCCACTGCCGTCTGCTCACTAAACCTGTTTTCATTTTCCTCATTCAGTTCAATGTCAAAGATGCTAACAAAATTAGCCCTCAAAGTGAGCCATGTGAGGCAGCACTTCTAATGTCCTTTTATAGTAATTCTTGGTTACGTGAGAGCCATTAGTCCGTTTCTCAGTGGAGACTGCAAAGACTTTCACTGAATGCAGGTAGAACCTTCAAGAATGATTAAAAGTCTAGAAATTCTCCCTCTAATGGTTTTGATACCGTTATTCCAGAGAGAGAAAACCTGGTAGTTGACTGAAGAGCTCTTTTGAGTATGTGAAGAGTTGTTTGAAAGGACGGAGACTGGTGGTTCTCCTCCATCACTTAGAACAAGACAGAACGGGACCATACTGTAGCATTATGTGCACTACTAAACACTGGCATGAGACACTTCCCCTGAAGATCTTTTTAAAGAGGTCCTCGTTAGTCTGAGATGTCTCTCTGCAGTGCCTGGGGCGCAGATTAATCTTCTGGGTTTTTTCTCTCTTGGCATCTGTGAAATAGACTACTGTACAAAATGATTGTTATCTTTATTTTTCTTCTAGGCTCTCTTATATTTTATCCATGTGATGGATCACATTGCTGTGAAGGAATACGTATTAGTATATTTTCACACACTGACCAGCGAATACAATCACCTGGACTCTGACTTCCTGAAGAAACTCTACGATGTTGTTGATGTCAAGTTAGTTATCTTCTCAAATTATGAAGGGGGAAAGCAGCTTTTTTCTTTCCGAGTATTAAGCAATAGCAAACATCGTTGTGTATTTTGTGAAAGGATAGTTCATGTAACTAAGATTTTTATTTTACTTAGATTGGATATTTTAATAATAGGCCCTCCTTAACTCCAGTTTATTTTGTATCAAAGCAAATTCATATGTAAACTTTTTCCTGCTTTTAAACACCTGGAAAAAGAGTTAATTGTTCATAATGGTGACTGGTTTTAGACATGGCTTATACTGACCCTCTTTTTGATTTTGAATCAGGTACAAGAGGAATTTGAAGGCTGTTTATTTTGTTCATCCAACATTTCGTTCAAAGGTAAGGTATTTTTCTTTTTAGCTAAATCTTGAATTTAAGTGCACTACATGCATATTAGGATATATTTCATCATCTTAATTCTTGCTATCACCGTTGTGACTGCTAATTTCTTTCTTTACCCTTCCTTTTTAAGTGATCTTCAGTTGTGGTCCTATTTTGGTCCCATGTAACTCCAGTATCTTTGTAGGCGACCTTTACAGGCCTTTAGTCCCTCAGTCCTTGCCTCTTCATGCTCTTTGTTAATCTGGGCTTTTTTCTGCCCTTGCTCCTGGCTAACTCCTGTTTATCCTTCAGAGCTCAGGTCAACATTTACTTTCTGTAAAAAAAACCTCTCTGATCAATCCTGCCACTAGTAGGTACTCCTGCATTATACTTCCTTAAGATTTTCTAGTCTTCCTTCATTGTTGTTTTTAATTCTAATTACTAGTTTAATTTTCTACCTTATGTGTTAGCCTGCCAGATCTCTGAGAGGTATTATATAACTATCTTGCTCATAATTACATCCCTAATATCTAATCCTGCATCTTGATTTCATCAAGATATCTAGTCCTTTGGTCCTTTTACTTTTTCTGAAAATATCTTCTTTTTTTTTTTTGATCTTTATTTTTCTTCCCTATCCAGCCTAAAACTCATGTTCCATCACTTCAGCCACTCTTGTCAATAAATAACCTATGTCTAAAATAACCTATGACCTCTTAGCCTTCCATCACACTTGCCCATCCAAACCTGATCTTGAGCTAGTCCATCATTCTGCTTTCTTCACTCCCGTATCTGGGTTGCTGAGCAGTGGTGGAGAAATCATAGAGCCATGTGAATTTGGGCTTCTCAGCAGACTCGTGGGGCATTCACTGCTAGCAGTCCTTTGATGCTTCACTGAACAGTGTCCCAGCATGGCTGTGTGCTCCCCTCAAGCTCTGTCCTACCAGCAGCTCCTCACTGCAACAGATGGCCCTGCCTCATTCTTAACTGAGAACATAGAAAGCATCACTGAGGAGCTCCCTGTCTTCTCCCTCCCACCCCAAACTTACGTGTCATCTCTTCCTATCATTGCCACTGTTTATTCTATCACAGAAGTGTGTTCTTTCTTAATGAAGGGCAGTCCCTCTACCTGTGCTCTGGATCCCATAGTGATAATAGCTAGTGTTTACTAAGCACTTACTGTGTGCCAGTTCTTCCCATGAATTATCTTGTTTAAGCCTTATATCTATGAAGTAGTTAGTAGTATTATTCCCATTGGATAGGCAAATGATGGATGCTTAGAGAGATTAAGTAACTTTTGCAAACTAAGCAACTGTAAAGTAGCAAAGGCTGGATTTGAATCTAGGCATTTGAATTCCAGAGCCTACACTCTTCTCTACACATATATTGAATATTTTCCCTCTCCTCAGGAACCTCTCTTCAGCAATTATCCTCTTTCTTATCTCCCATTTTTCTGGATCTAACTCATCAATTTTTAAACATTCTAAAGCCTCCACTTATCTCTCTTCCCCTTTACAACCAAAATTTTTTAGTGTGATCTGTGCTCTCTGCTCACCATCTCCATGTGTCATACACCTGAAATTACTCCAGTCTGGTTCAGATCCCACTCTGGCAACTAAAGCTGCTCACGCTGAAAACACCAGTAATTTCTCTTTTCCCTATACCCTTATAGGGTAAGCACAGTTATCACTTCTCCCTTGAAACACTTTGTCTTGGCTTCTTTGAAACTTACCCTGCCTAGTTTTTCTTCTACTTCTAGCCACTCCTTCTCAGTCTCCTTTGCGGTTCCCTCTTTTTCTGCTCATCGTTTGAGTGTTAGTGTCCCCAAATCCTCTGACTTCTTTCATTCTGTACTTCTTTTTTTTCATTCCTGTGTTTTCAACAACCCTCCAAAATATATGCAATTCCCAAGTATATGTCTGGAGAGGCAGTAAAGTCTAATGTTTGTGAAAGCATGGATTTGAGATTCAGGTAATGTAGGTTCTAATCCTACCTCTACCAATTACCAACTTGTTTTCTCAGGCAAGTTATGTAACCTCTCTGTGCTTTAATTTCATCTTCTGTAAAGTGGGGATAAGAGTAGTACCTACCTTGTGTAGTTGTCAGAAGGATGAAATTAGTTAATACATGTAAAACGCTTAAAACATTATCTGACATACAATAAACACTCAGTAAATGTTAGCCATCATCATCATTCCTGTGCTTAGACCTGCTTGTTGAACTTCTGATCAAATATCTTCACTTAGATGTTTTACAGGCCCCAGAAGTTCAACATGTTGAAAACAGAACTACTCATGTCGTCATCTCCCACTCCCTCCCAAACTGCTTTTTGTATTCCCTATCTTTGTAAATGGGACCACTGTCTACCCAGATGCCTAAGTCAGAAACAAGGGAGGCATCCTTGGGTACTTGCCTTACCTCATTCTCATCATATTGCATCACTTCTGTGTGCTTACTATTGTCCAATTCTATGCCTGTGTCTTTAGTCCCACTGCCTCTACTTTAGTTCATCCCACCATCATCTCTTACCTCAAAGGATGCAGCAACAACCTAATCAGTATTCACGTTGTCCTGCCTCCAGTATAGCACTGTTCCAGGTGCCTTCAGGCCTGCCTAGTGAAATTTTCTTATAATATTAATATAAGAAGCCAAAAATATTTCCTATTTACTATAGGGGCTTTTGCAAAAGTTTGCCAACCCCTGGTCTAGGCAAAGAAAAAAAGAAGAATCTGAATATATCAGTGCAGTTTGGAGAAAAGATGACTTATTATTTGGGTATAAAATCCCAGGATTTAGTGATTTATTAAATGAGTACGGGTGAGAGAAAGGGTTGTGTCATCCATGACTCCCAGGTGTCATCAGATGTAGGGACCATGGATTGGGATGTAAATTTGAGAGCATCATCAAGTAAACAGAGCTTTAACTCTTTAAAAGTGTTATAAAATCATAGACTTAGACAGCTAAAGACAGAACCCTGGGATCAGGGAAGGAGATCAAGAAGAAATAATCAAAAAGCAGCAGGAGAACTAAGATTGGCTAATGCTGTGGAAGCCAGTGGATGGGAAAAGCATCAGAGATGGTAGAAATAGTTATTTTAAAGCACTATGGAGAAATTAAGTAAGATAAGTAGTGAAAAGCCCTTATTAAATTTCATAACTAAGACGAGTGAAGGCTTCAGTGAGAATGTTTTCCACTTTGGGATTTGTCACTGTTTACAAAATTGTTGTCTGTCATTGAAATACCATCTTTAAATTTTGCATGAAGTATTTTAATAATTCTTTTAAAATTGCAAATTTCTTTTTGATCCCTCAGTGTTAGAACAGCACAGTAGAAAGTGCTATGCTTATGGGAACACTGCTTGGCAAGGCTTAAAAAAAAAAAGTAAAATGTGTGAACAGTCAATTAAATCACTTTGTCTTTCCTACTCTTCTTTCAGTTGAGTTCTGATTACATGGTCTTATCAGATAATATATTATTAACCTTCCTAACCTTTCTCCTTATTGGAAAAGTTAACTTTGTTATGCTCAGCAGGTGGCTAATTTTTTCTTTCTATAGCACATAAGGAAGAAGTGCTTGACTATTTCCCAAAATCTCATCATCCATTTATTTTTTTATTCATCCAGTAGCTACTGAAATTTTTTCTTTAATGGAGACAAACAGAAGAGTATGTCGGTTTTTAGTATGTCTTTGCAAGAATGTCTGCTGTCCCCACTTGTATTCAGTATTGTACTGGAGGTTTTAACTAGTGTAATATGACAAGAAAAAGAAACAAAATGCATATAGATTTAGAAAGGAGTAAATAATGCTGTCTTGATTGTCATTAATAGATGACATGATTATCTATATAGAAAACCCTGTGGTATCCTCAGAAATGCTACTAGAACTGATGAGTAACTTTCAGCACAGTTTCAGGGTTTAAGATCAATATTCAAAAATCTATTCTATATATTAGCAAGAAACAAATTGAGACTTAAAAAGCAATATAATTTAAACTAGCATCAAAAATACCAAGTACTTAGGGATAAATATGACAAAAGATATGAAAGACTTGTATAATACACTGCACAAGTTATGTATACTGCAAAACATTAATGAGAGAAATTAAAGGAGACCTAAATAAATGAAGACGTATACTGTATTTATGGATTAGAAAACTGAATACTGTTAAATTGTCAATCCTTTCTAAAGCTATAGATTCAATTCAGTCCCAGTCAAAATTTCAACAAGGTTTTTTCTGTAGAAATTCAATTAAAATGCACAGAATCTAAAATAGCCAAAACAACTTTGGAAAAGAAGAACAAAGTTAGAGGACCAACACTACCTGCTTTCAATGCTTATTCTAAAGCTACAGTACTCAAGACAGTGAGGTATTGGCATGAAGATAGACAAAGACATCAATGGAGCACAATTAAGAATCCAGAAATAGATTCACGTATTTATGGATAACTGATTTTTTTACAAAAGTGCAAAGTCAGATCAGTGGAAAAAGGTTAGTCTGTTCAACAAACAATATTGGACCAATTAGATATCCATACGCCAAAAAAAAAATGAACTTTGATCTATATCTTGTATCACATAAATGTAAAACAAAACTTTTTAAACTTCTAGAAGAAAGTATAGGTGAAAAAGCTTTGTGTGACCTTGAGTGTAAAGCAAATATTTCTTAGATACAACGCCAAAAGCACAATCCATAAAAGAAATCGAACTTTATTAGAATTTAAAACTTCTGCTCTTTTAAAGATAGCTAAGAGAATGAAAAGATCAACCACAGCCTGAGAGAAAATCTTTGTAAATAAAACATTTATCTGATAAAGGACTTATCTTTAGAATATATAAAGAAATCTCAAAACTTAATAATAAGGAAACAATTTAGAAATGGAAAAAATGATTTGTGCAAAATACTTCACCAAAGAAAATATACGATGATAAATAAGCAAATGAAAAGATGTTCAGCACAATTACTTATTAGGAAAGTACAAATGAAACCAAAACGAGATATTACGTTCCTATTAGAATTGCTA